CTCCTGTGATTGGACTTATGCTGGTGAGATATTCCGGCCTATTCAACACAATTTGGGGCAGCACAAAAATGCTTGTAAAGAACTCTGTGTCAAACGGTCGGAAATGTCCGAGCACGTGGCAAAGATTGGTGAATACATCTCAAAATATTTCTGTTTTGTTATTTGCCCTATTATCCATAAGCAGCCTAAAATACTTTGAATTTATTTGGTCTTGAGTTATAGGCTTACTTGTTAATCTATATAATGTGAATCATGTTGCTTTGTAAATGACGCACTGTGTTTAAACAAAAGCTCTACCTCAATTTTTGTATAGACGTAAGTCTACCCTCTTCCGACACACGTTTTATTCTCAATCTCCACATTTTATTTTGTCTAACGTACTTTTCTGAAAATATTTTTGGAGTAATTACAAAACACAAATTAACTATTTTCCTTAACCCCTTTCATTCGCACATTATCCTACATATTTTCTGAATGCTTTACTGTATAAATATAAAACTTCAACTTGTATTTAGATTGCAATAAATGTTCCTCTAGTATTAAGCAATATGTTGCTGAAGTAAGTACCTTTTGTTCAATAAAGGAATATTCAGTTATTACAAAAAATAAATAATTAGATGCTTGCACAGATGAATTTATTACAACTGCCTAAAGAAAGAGGCTCCAAATATTTTACCCTATATATCCTTTCATTCTGTAAATGAAATTACAAGATTATTAAGGATAATTTGATATATATATTATATTATGCAGCTTAGAAATGGAATTGAATTTACCAGTTATCTCAATACATCTGATCTTGAAACTAGAAGGATGTATGGTTATCCTGTGATAAAACTGTATGAAAAGGGTTACTGAGAGCATCTGTTTTGTTCCACTGACTGATGCCACTGACTGGAGAGCTGAACATTCTTTTTTTTCTACAACCAAGAAGACATATGAAAGCATTCCGAAACTCACGATTACAGAATACGTAAATGATAGGATTTAAGGTAGAGTTAAAATAACCAATCCAGAACAGAATGCTGACAACTATGCCAGGGGTTCGGCAGGTAGTCTGTCCGCCGCACAGGTTTGATGCAGTATACCAGAGAAAAAAAGGAAGCCAGCAGAGAATAAAAGCACCCATTATCATTCCTAGCGTTTTAGCTGCTTTGTTTTCGCGCTGTATCCTCTTGTGCTCACGAGGGCCGTTACCCAACGTGTTAATGCTATTAAACGTACTTTCCTGCTTGCTTTCGTTTGATATGAATTCAGTACTCCTGGTTTTAGCTATTTTTTCAATATACTTTGAGGTTTCAGCTCTCGTTGCCCCCATCTGCTTATGGTTGCTTGAGTCTGCACCTTGATTGTTGGGCAACAGATATCGTGTACGCATTTCTATTAGCCGACGTCGACCTATATTGTGCATAGGTAAAAAAAAACAATTTCGGACTTGTCCAGATAGACTTTGGTTGCAGGTTAGCTTTCTTCTAGCTTCTGAATGTGAATGCTTTTTTCTCCAAGTTGCATTATATTTACAGTATTTATTATCTTTGGCGCAAGGTGCACATGACTCAAAGTCATTCTTACCCTCAAAATTACCTTTTTTATTTTGGAGTAGAAAAGTCGAATCAGGTAATACATAAGAGGGTTTTTCTCCATTGTTATTCATCCCTGTTTCAACTTTCTCATTAATGCATTCTTGGTATATTATTTGCAAGGGATCAGACCTTATATCCGGTTCTACAGAGCCCGTGATGCTGAAATCGCTTTCTCTATTAATGCAATTTCTCCTTGAGATAGGTTGTAACCGATTAATCTTGCTTTCTTGTCTGCGAGCCTCAAAGTATATTCGAGTATAGACAGCGGACATCACCAAACAAGGAAGCCAAAACGAGACGGTTGATGAGACGACCGCATAGTAGGGATTGACAACGAAGAGACACTGATAGGCATTCACTTGCTGGGCGCGTATATTCTCATCAGTAGTATAGAAACCACACCAGATTGGGATGTATGATATGAGAAATGAAGCCATCCATGAAGAAACCAACATAACGGCTATACGCGCTCGTGTCATTTGATCCTTGTATTTGAAGGGTCGCGTGATGGCCAAGTATCTATCTGTGGAGACACAACAAAGATGTACTATGGAGGCTGTGCTCAGGAACACGTCGTTGGCGTTGTAGAGGTTGCAGACTATCTGGCCAAAGGGCCAGTATCCATCAGATAAAAGTAAGAGGGCATTAAAGGGCATGGCGAAAATGGCGACAAGAAGATCAGCGAATGCCAAAGACACAAGAAAGGCATTGGTACGCACGCGGCGAAGCTGATTGAATCGCATAACAGCCACAATGACTAGCCCGTTGCCAAAAATAGCTCCTATGATGATGATGAGAGCTGAGGTAGCACGAAATACAGCCAATGCCAGTGCCGAGGATGATGAAGTGGTAGCGTTGTAGACAACTACAAAAAGCTGCTTAAGTCCGACCTCATCGCTTGTGCCCATTAGAGGGTTGAGATTATAAATATAAATGGGACTCAAGTGAATGGCTCGGCGGCACTACTCATTCTCTTCTTACCCAAAGCACAAAAAATGCATTCTGTTAGTCAGATCATTGCAAGCATTCTATATTACTCTCTGAAGTGGGCTCAAAAATCAAACGACAGGAACTTCATTGCCCGTTGTATGTGTCAAAAGGTCTAATGAAATGCTGAAATGATGGTGCTACATTGAAATGGGTCAAAGAATTGTGATCTTTTGAACATCTAAAAAGTTAAAAAAAGTAAAAATTATTTAAAAATATCAAGTTTGACCATGTAGGTTAAATTCGTATTTAAAGTGTGGCAAAAACCCAATAACTTTCACCTCGTGCTAGCTTGGAATCAATTAT